AAAAAATTGACGGGTACAGGTACGGGTACGGGTATACCCGATACCCGACGGGGACGGGGATGAGGATGAAAATCTATACCCGACGGGTATGGGGACGGGGATGGGGATGAGTTTAACTTGTGGGGACGGGGACGGGTATCATGAAACCCGTACCCGCCCCGCCCTGTTGCCATCCCTACTTCTTGGTGAGTTGAGTTAAAGGCATTCCTATTTTAGAAAAATCTTTAATGACTCGTCTATAATATCTTGCCAAACCCAGGAAACTACAAATTTTTGTCACTATCTTTGGTGGTTCCCATCCCAGAACTATTTCCACTTTGGACAGATTCACAGATACTCCATCTTTGGAAATCACATGTCCTAAAAGCTTAACTTCTTCTAACCAAAATTCACACTTAGAAAATTTAGCATACAGTTGTTTGTCCTTCAAGATTTGGAGAACAATTTGAAGGTGTTCTTCATGCTCCTCATGAGTTCGGGAATATATGAGAATATCATTTATATAGACCACTACAAAATGATCTAAAAATGGACAAAAAATTCCATTCATATAATCTATGAATACTACAGGAGCATTTGTCACTCCAAAAGGCATTACTTGATATTCATAATGACCATAACTTGTTATAAATGTAGTTTTTTGTATGTCTTTTGCTTTCACTTTGATTTGATGATATCCTGATCTTAATTCTATCTTAGAAAACACAGTTGTTCCTCTCAATTGATCCATCAAATCATCTATCCTAGGAAGATGGTATTTATTCTTTATAAACTTATTTAATTGACGATAGTCCACATACAACCTAAAACTTTCATCTTTCTTTTTAACTAAAAAAATAGGAGCCCCCCAAGGTGACACACTAGGGTGTATGAATTGCTTTTCAAGCAATATTCTTCCAATTGTTTCTTTAGCTTAGTTAATTTAGAAGGTGACGTCCTATAAGGTGCCATTAAAATTGGTTTAGTTCTAGGCATCAAATAAATTGAAAATTCAATCTCTCTTATAGGTGGCAAACCAGGAATATCATTTGGAAAAACTTTAGGAAAACTTTTTACAAGAACTATACTTTTCAAATCAACTTTCTTTTTTGCTTTCATAGAAGATAATACTAAATATCCTTGAACATTACTCCATGAAAACTAATTTATTGGATTGGATAATAAAATTGATAGATCCTTAGAATTAGAAAATACTACAGAATTTTCTACATAGTTGAGAAGGACATGATTGGAAGATAACCAGTCCATACCCAAAATCACATCTAATTGCGATAAAGGTAAATAGATTAAGTTTATAATAAATTTTCTATCACCAATGCAAAATGGACAATCTAAACAAACTTCATTGGCAATTACATATTTATTTGTAGAAGTTAAAATAATTAGATTAGTCTCCAATGAAGAAGCTGACAATTGAAGATGTTGAACACAGTCATTAGAGATGAAAGAATGAGTTTCACCTGAATCGTACAATACATTTAAAGTTTTACCCTTAATGGAACATGTACCTTGTATTAGATCGTTATTTTGAGCAGCTTCAGTTTTAATCATAATATAAACTCTCCAGTTGTAGTAGGCCTTGGTTTGGGTCCAAAAGTATTTGCATGGGACTTTGGTTGTCCACACTCAGAGAACACATGACCAGGCTTCCCACTATGACACCCTCTACCCCAACATATATATATATATATATATATATAATAATAAAAATAAATATCTTATTGGATAAAAATATATTTTTAATTGAAACGACAATTCCAATAATCATGTGAGTAGAGAATTCACATTCATGTACTTAATCCAAATAGCAAATAAAATTACAAAGAATAAAAATTGACTTTTCCAAAATATATACTTTAATAAAACATAACAACATCATATTCCAATTCTATCTATGTCCCGATGTCACATGTCCTATCAGAGAAAAATCTCACATAGAAGCCTAAGCTCCATCGTCCACATCCTCAGCCTCATATGCTGCTGATGGTCTCCTGTATATCAAACAAGAGAAACAACACAAAAGAAGGGAGTGAGAAACATCTCACTCTGACTCACGGTGTAGGAACGCATACCGGATAGCCAAACACAAACAATATAGTTTCCTTATAGATCAATCAACAACAATAGCTTATCCAATCATCCAAGTCATACAAATAGTAATTTATCATCATTTAATAATAAGAATGCACATGCATGGACACGGACTACATATTATCATGAATGTGGCGCCAGTAAAACATCACATGGCATATTGCTGCTAGCAATACACGAAGAGTAGTCTAGGAGTACATGTCGGGTCACACCCTCTGCGCACTCTCACTAGAAGGATATACTACCAGAGTCTCGTCGGGATAGCTAAGCCATGCAAGATACATCCCATGCACACAATGGGCGAGACTGGGACTTCCAAACCGAGCTATCCCCAAGGACTAATCCCCAAAGCTTTTACACTAGGGGGCCTTCTCTAGCGGTGTATTCCATATCGTACCCTTAAAACATTTATGCAAATGATGCATGTCAAACAAGACTTTATGCATTAACACATCATCATATTTCATGTAACATTATCGTTATTCTCGCTTCTCATATTTCATATTCACGTTTCGCATCATGGTTACGTAATTTTCGAAATTTCTAGGCATTCATAAGCATTTTAATTCACAACAACACTCACCCATTTGCAAAACCAAACACATATTCACACATCTCTTTTAATAGGGAATATAACGGAACAGACAGAAGTCAAAATAGAAATATTCCTATTTTGCCTACTGCTCATAGGGTTCTCTCAAGAACCCATATAGCGTTCCAATTTATGCAATAAACATTTAAAATAAGACAATTCACGTATATAATTATTATCACAATTAATTTACTCATATAAGCACCAATGCACTCCTTTAGGGTTTCCCGTAGGAACCCATAGGAGCACCAAATTCCACAATCATAGCCTAAACAAAGTTTCTATTCATACATGCATATTAATTAAGTAATTGAAACATACAAGAAAAATATGACATGCAACAAACACAGGATTGGGGCCAATCCCACTACCCAGCATACAATCCCACACCTAGAGCGAGGTTTCTCACTCCCCCCTTACCTCGATAAACAGGGGTTGAAACTGAAGCAGGATCTCCTCCTCCGGGTTCCCCTTGGTCTCCAGAAAGTGTAGAAGAAAAAGGTCCAAAGTGAAAAAAATGCCTTTTTCTGGAGTGCCGAAACGCATTTATAGGCATCAGGATTTGGCCAGAACGGCTCGTTCCGAATCCGGAACGGCCTGTTCTGGGCACATAGAACATGTACAAAAGCCTCTCCCAAAACGGCCCGTTCCAAAACATGAATGGCCCGTTCTGAGTCAATACTTTGTTCTTTAAAATCACATCCGGAACGTCCAGTTCCCAAAGTGGAACAGCCCTTTCTGGGTTGAAATTTTATCCATGCATGCTCGAGTTGGAACGGCCCGTTCCCAAAGTGGAACGGGCCGTTCCGGGACTATGAAAATCCAGAATTACTAATAAATAAATAAATTATATATATATATATATATCAAATTAAAATAAAATATTAATACAATTTAAAACATGATTTTCTTCAAATAATAATTATAACAAAATATCATAATTAATAATATTATACAAAATAATTTTCATAAATGATTATTATGAAAAACCTTTAAAAATTCAATCAAACCCATTTAATTAATCAAAATAATTATAAGGAAATAATCTTCATAAATACAAAAATAAATAATAATTATTCATAGTATTAGTAGAAAAATTCGGGGTGTTACACCCACATTTGAAATAGATAGGTTCTTTGAGATGAAAATCTTTAGCATAATGTCCTAGTCTACACTTAAGACACTTAGTGTGTGTTTGGTTTATCGTTTGAAATTCATTCAACGGACTTTTACACATTCCAATACATCAAACGGAAAAGTAACTCTTTTGTCCCATTTGATTAAAAGCAAGTTACGTTGAACGTAACTTTTTCCCAAACACACCCTTAACTTGATTATTCACATGTCTACTAGAATTTCCTAAAAATTGAGAAGATTGGGATTTCCATTGAGATTGGTCATAAGGTTTTCCTTCATTAATTCTTTTTTTATTAAACTGAGGGCCAACAATTTTTTGTCTATTATCTGTTATGATCGAAACCTTCTAGAAAATGATGACACTTGTGAATTAGTGTAGGAAAATCAAAAATTTCTAATATTCCTATTGTTTTTTCAATTCTGGTCTAAGTTCATCCTCAAATTTAATACACATCATTCTTTCATCAGGGTGACAAAAGAAAGTAGAATATTTTTCCAATTCTTCAAATTTAGAAACATAATCTCCTACTGTCATGTTTTCTTGTTTTAATTGCATAAATTATATTTCTTTAGCTCTTCTAACGTCATTAAGAAAATATTTTTAAAAAAATACTTCCCATATAATACTTATTCCTCCTCCTTCTAATAATTTTCTTGTACTATCCCACCAATATCCAGCTTCTCCTACTAACATAAACACTGCATAATTCACTTTTTGGTTATCAGGATAGTTCATGGCTCGGAAGATCTTTTCTATTTCATTGATCTATAATCCAACTTTTTTAGGATTATATCCCCATCAAAATGAGAAGGTTTATTTCTCCTAAATTCAACCAATCCTTGAGACTCACCTAATCCTTCTGGTCTTTGATTTCTTAACAAAGCCATATCTTTGATAGCTTTTAGAGTCTCTGTTTAGTTCTATATTTTTTTTCCTGCCATCTGGAAAAAAAATTTATGTTAGTTTATCCATTTAGAAACATGGTTAACACATTTCCCAAGTTACACATGGAACGTTGCTCTAATACCATTAAAATGTTACACTAGTTTGAATGAATAAAAAATTATTAAATATTTTAGTAATATTATTAAATTAGTACTTATCCTATAAAACCCCAAGTGCTTATAGATTATACATAAAAGTTTAGTTATTACTGCTTCATATAATTATGCATCACATTTATCATAATTTTACAAACTATTTATGAAAGAAAGAGAGGTTTATTAGTTTCTATTTTACAATTTTCCTCCTTATTTTACAATATTAGTACAATAACAGTTATTATATATTGTATCAGGGGTTAACATGACTTGTTGGGGGTAGAGTAAAAGTAATAGTTATAGGTCCATATAAAAAGCTTGGGGTATCCTTATTTTGTAGCATAATCATTGATGCTCCTTGTTCATGGAAAGTAACAGTATTATTTCATGTGTCAACCGGCCACTGCATGCTAGGAAAAAATGTGTGTACTAATGCGGTAAAAGATCCAACCTAAGGTGAATCCATCTATATATATTTATTATTTAAAAAAAAATAAAGGAGTGAGAACAAATATCCAATAAATACAAATAATTAAATAGAATGTGCTATTTATAACCAACATTATATATATACATATATATATACACACACACACACACACACATATATATATATATATATATTAAATTTTCTTGTTATAATAAAATTTTGAATTATTTTAGTAGTAACTAGTCAAGATAAATAAGCATTATCATAATATCAACGGACAAAAAGATATTTCATCTTAAGTCCTTTACTCATTTAAATCCACAAGCTCAAACCTCCAACTACAAATTAATTCAAACTTTATTTCATATGCCCATAGAATAACATTTATCTTTATAATATATGAGGAAATAATAAAAAGATGAGCTTAGGATATTTTAACAAAATTATATTATAGTTAGTATTAATATAAAATAATTAAAATAAATAAGTTTGAATATTTTTAATTATTTAAAATTTAATATAATATAGTTTACAAAAATGAAATGTATTAAAGAATATTAATATAATAAATGACAGTGATAAACATCATAAAATAATTAAACAACATAAACTAGAAACATCTCATTAATTATTAAGAGTAAAAAGTATCTTAGATTAAGCAAGTAAATGAGATTAAAGATACCTGACAAAGTAAATATACATAAATGTAACATAAAATACACAAACATAATAATATATAAAATTTAAAAAAATAAAGATCTTGTCTCCCTTGCCTTAACAAAGAAGTAGAATTGCTCCTTAAACTACGTATATTTTTTTTCTTACTCTCCTTCTCTAATTTTTTCCCTCTCTTTTCTCAATCTTTCCTTCGTACTATCTCTTATTTTCTTTTTCTCCGCTCACTCTCCTTTCTCCCCGCTGGCCTATTTATAGGCAATTTTGCTTAATACTAACCATCTAGTTGGGATGCCTTTAAGGCATCATTTGTTAGAGATACACATTATCATTCCCCGTACACCTGCTGTAGATAAGGGCTGCAGTTTTTTTTTTTTTCCTTTTATTTTTTTAGAAAGAATCCTATTAATAATTTAGAATATAATAATCTATATATAAATTTTGGTTTTCTAAAAAGTTTTATAATACAATAGAATTTTATATATCCCCATTTAAATTTTTTTATAGCATTTAAAAAAAACATTGTATTTTTATTTATTATTCAAGTATGGTATCTAAAATTTTAGATTATTAAAAAAATAAGAATATAAAATTGAGAATATTATAATATGGTACGACAAATTCAGAATACTACATAATATATATATATATATATATATATATATATATATATATGAAAAAAGATTTGTTTACTGAAATGAAATCTACCTAAACTTACTTTGTTCAATAACTCACGTTCTATATCAAATTTTAATGATCTAACTGTTGAATTTAAAATTCTTAATACATAGATCAGGCCTGCAAATTTTTAAAAAACTTGAAAATCATTCGATACTTTATTTCATTAATTCAAATGAACAGATAGTTAGAAAATCATTTAACACATTGATTTGAATTAATCAAACAAAATATCAAATGATTTTCAAATTTTGAAAAAGTTTACAGGCTTTATCTATGCATTAAGAATTTTTAATTCAACGACTGAATCGTTCAAATTTGATGTAGAACATGAGTTATTAAACGAA